GTGTAAGTATAAGGCCGCCCGGGGGGGGGGTGGAAGGGGTCTCTGCATAGAGTTTGGAATTTGTTTCTGATGAGTTGCAGTTGCTCTGTGTGATGCTGACAGGACCAAATGGAACGCTGAGTAGTTACAAGACCAGAGTGACTGTACTTGCTCCAATGGCAGAGTACTAGTTCATCATCTTCATGCTTAGGAAAAATTTGGAGCCAGCCTATCACCCATTCTCTGGGTCACTATGAACTGCCCTCTTCCACTCCTAAAGTCATTTGCATCCATTGCCTTCTTTCCACTTTCCCTGGTGCTGCCTTTTTTCAAGGTTTCATCATGTCTTCTTGGATTACATATTCCTTGCATGTCTTCCAGCCTCATGTCTTAGGTTGCCTGTTCTATTCTCCAAGTCTCTCTATTACTATTAGAGAGATTTTTCTAAATTAGCTTCAAATCCATCCTTGGTTTTCTATGGATTTCCAAATCAAATGTCCTCCACAGGTCCTGGTTTGTAAGGCCCTTCAGGTTTGGTCCTGTATGTCCTGTTTCTTGTTGCCCCCACAAGTTTCTCCTTCACACTGACCTACACGCAATTCTAGAACATGCAGTATTTGCTCTCAAACTTTGCAACCTTCTGTGTTTGCCCCTCCTTCTGCCCAGAATTCCTCCCTTCCCTTTTGACTTCTTTTCCATCTTCCCATTTCCCTCCTACTCAGGTTGAATTAGGTTTCTCTCATTCAACATTCCAAAGATGTATTATAGTATTTATCACAAACTGCACTGACTCTCTACTAGACCAAATGAGTAGCTTCCCACACCTAGCTCTGGCATATAGCAGTTACTTAGTAAATATTTGATAATCAGTGAATCCCACTGGTCATACCAAGGCACAATTATAGGTCAGGGAAGAGGTCTTGAAATACTTGGCTCTGAAAGCAGGAAAAAAATAATAGTTATCACAATTATGTTGTTAGATGGGTTAGAATTTCACACTTGATAAAAAGATTTCCAAATTTCAAATTTCTTCAAGCTAAAGTGATTAAAGCCTACTTTGAAGGTCAGTTTTTAAAGACCTCTTTTTCGGGACTTGGCTAAACATCAAGTTCAGAAATTATACTTGCAAAGCGTTTCCAGAAATGCCAAATCTCTTTGAAACGTCATTCCAATACTGTGGCTATAGCTATATAGATGATACAGATGTAGATCCTGCTCAAAAGAAGCATGAGAAGTGGGCGGCTGAACTCTGAAACGATATCCGCCTAATTAGGGCTGAGATAGCACATTAGGAGACGAGGGGCAGTCAAACACCCTGGGGCGTCCAGGCTAAGTTAACACAGAGGGAGGCTACTATGTCAGAGCCATCTATCCACACAGCAATTTAAGAATAGAAAGGACTGTTTTATGAGACTCCAGGTGTCCCATATCTTCAACTGCTTGCCTGCAGGTGGGCTCTAGCCCAGGCAGGACATATGCAGAGAAAAGGGTGCAATGGAGACAGGATGAAGGCGGCCTTTGATTCTTTGATTCATCTCTCTAACTTACTGATTTTCTTGAGTCCTTTGACTCTTTTGAGTCATTTTGATTCTCGGCTCCACCCGTTAAAGAGCAGCTGAAAGACGCTGCAACAAAGATAAGGCGGGTAGTAAGAAAATTTAGAGAAAAAGAGGTAACACTTTCAGGGGAGAAGACATAGAGAAGAGACTGAGAGAGTAGAGAAGCCCGAAGAGGGAGGCGGGGAAGAGAGGAGGAGAAGCTTAGTAAAGGTACTGAACGACGCAACTGGTCTGGGACTACAGTGGAGACCGCACGCCCGGAGGGAACAGGCTCTTTAAGGCAGGCCCCACCCCTTAGCGTGACGCCACGGCAGGTAGGGCCACGATTGGCTGCGGCTGGAGGGCGGGATGGGGTTGCTAGGCGCGGACTGGATCCGTAGGGCCGTGGCCGCCCGGAGCGCGGAGCCGCGGGTACAGAGCGGTGTTAGCGGCGCTGCTGGAATATGGCGAGCGGCCGGGACGCGCGGCGGCCCTGGCTGCCGGGTCGCCTGCGGATGCGGTTGTCGCCCCTGCTGCTGCTGCTGCTGCTACTGAGGAGCTCGGCGCGGGCGGCGCACATCAAGAAGGCGGAGGCAACGACTACAACGAGCTCCAGCGCCCCGGCGGCCGAGGGCCAGTTCGACCGCTACTACCACGAAGCGGCTCTGGGCGAGGCACTGGAGGCAGCGGCGGCGGCGGGGCCGCCGGGCCTGGCGCGGCTCTTCAGCATCGGCCCCTCAGTGGAGGGCCGGCCGCTCTGGGTGCTGCGCCTCACCGCCGGCCTGGGGCCGCCGCCCGCGGCGGATACCGCGGGCCCGGACGCCGCGGGGCCGCTGCTGCCCGGCCGGCCGCAGGTGAAGCTGGTGGGCAACATGCACGGCGACGAGACCGTGTCACGCCAGGTGCTGGTCTACCTGGCCCGCGAGCTGGCGTCGGGCTACCGCCGCGGCGACCCACGCATCGTCCGCCTGCTCAACACCACCGACGTGTACTTGCTGCCCAGCCTCAACCCGGACGGTTTCGAGCGTGCCCGCGAGGGCGACTGCGGCCTCGGTGCTAGCGGCCTGCCCAGGACCAGCGGTCGCGACAACAGCCGTGGCCGCGACCTCAACCGCAGCTTCCCGGACCAGTTCGGCACCGGCGAGCCCCCTGCGCTGGACGAGGTCCCCGAGGTGCGCGCGCTCATCGACTGGATCCGTAGGAACAAGTGAGTGTCGCCTGTGATAGATAAAGTAGCCTGTGGATGAATCCGGTTGATCAGGAGAAAGCACCAGGACACAGATAAAACTCCATCAGAATAGAGTTTATTAGCAAAGGAACACATGGAACAGATTCCCTTCCGGGCAGGGAAAATGTCTGCCCGGGTCGTGAGCTGGGGTCTTTTTAAAGGGGGAGGCTTCTGCTTCCTGCAGAAGGCGGGAAGATGTATTTTTTTTAAAGTTGGGGGTGGGGAACGGGACTGGTAAAACCTGTCCTCTTTAGAGATCAAAGGGGAAGCCTGCTGTGTTGGCCAAACGGTGGAGAAAAGTCTGCTTCTCTCGATTTCAAAGACCAGGGTGCTTATCAATAAGCTCTGTTCCCTTTTCTCAGGAGCTTGAGAAGTCCTTGAGACCCTGTTGGTGAGAGGGCAGGGTTATCTGAACCTTAACATGATCCTATAAAGAAATGAAGTCCAGATTTGCTGGCCAACAGATTTTTGCCAGGAGTACATGTACATAGTAGATGACCTTAGTATAGGAGTATGTGGTGAGATTTTAAGGATAACATTTAAGGATAGCAAACATAGCCCCTTCATTTTCTAGATGAGCTGTCATTGTTACCTTATTACTGGAGGCTTTGTGGTAAGCACTTTCTGTGACTGCATTACCTCACTTGATGGTGACCACAACCCATAGCCCTCAACCCTCATAGCCTTGTTTTGCCTACGGGGAAGTTGAGAGTCACACTGGCAAACTTATTTGCATACATAAGTAACTAAGATTTAGGCTCAGGCAATCTGAGCCTAGTTAGTGCTTTCTGCTGCCAGGAAGATAGACTTATAGCCCAGAAAGAGCAAACAATACCCCCAGGCTCTTCTTGATTATTTGACAGAAACTGGTTTTCCTTCAATCTTTACCTATGGCTCTGCTAAGGGGAGGATGAGTTTGTCTGGGGAACTTGCTCCGCTCTGTGAGTTGCTTCATTTCTGATGGCATTTGTACACCTTATAGGGCCTAGATAAAGCAACTAAGTGTTTAGTTTGAGTGTTATTAAGCACTGCATGGGATTTTAAAACTCAAGAAGTAGAAGCGTGAGAACCTTCAGAAATTAGTATGTAACAAGAGAGTATTATACATATATATGAGGTGTTCACTAGTTAAATAAAACTTTACAAAAACTGTACCTCCTGGCAAAATGTGCACGAGCTACAATGCTATGAACCATGTGCTACAAGAATATGGACCATCTCTTACAGGAGGTAGAATTCGAACCGAGTCTTTGAGAGATGGATAGGGTTTGTACATAGTAAAGAGTAGGGCGGATTAAAGGAAGACGGTACTTACTGCAGATGGAATACTGTCTAAAGTGAACAAAGACCTCTTTTTCAGGCATCAGCTTGGCTTGCATATTCCCATTTTGTAGCTTCTTCCTAAGACTTTTGAAGGCAGTAGTTAATCTTTGTGATTTTGACTGGCAGTTGTAAAGATAATGAACAACAAAGTTTCTCTATGGGTCTTGGAATCATTTTTTTTTTTCTTTTATTTTTTTAAGGAAATGCCTCATGTAGCTCAGGCTGGCCACAGACATGGCATAAAGCCAGGGATGACCTTGAGCCTGATCTCCTGCTACTTCCCTAGGGCTTAGATTACAAACCAGTCACCACACCTGGTTTATGTAGTGCTGGTGATGGAACCCAGGACTTCACGCATGCTAAGAAGCACTGTACCAACTGAACTACATTCTAGGCCCCTGGAATAATTTCTGTTGTGAGATTTCAGTTGTATGTTGAGATCTAGAAAATTTATGGGCATCATGATAGTTCTAGATGGTTTTTATCTTCTACCTTTTCACTTAGCCAGTTTAGAAGAGCCTTTGTAGATATTTAATTTCATAAGTGCTCTAGTAAGGTTTTTATTCTTTTAAGGATGACAATGTCAGATCTCTGAACATTTGCATAAATTTGACTTTGATGAATACTGTGGTGACCACGGCTTTTCTGAGAGACTGTATCAACAGTGCTGATTCCATTATTCAGGTGTTTAAACTTATAACTTGTGTAAGAATTTTTGTCTTCAGTAGTTCTACTGTGGCCAAAAATGTAAATTTTCTTTTGGTGTAAGTCTCAAACCAAAAATTCACTCTCTGCTTAACTTGTTCATATCAGTAATATTTAATGATCATAGGTTATGGTATGGTTTTGTTAGTTCAATGATAGGGACTTATGAGACAGGTCTCCCTGTAGCCCTAGCTGGCTTGGAACTCACTATGTAGACCAGGCTGGGCTCTATCTAACAGAAATCCACCTGCCTCTACCTCTTGAGTGTTGGGACTAAAGGCGTGCACCATCACACCCAGTGCTTGTGAGGTTATAAAAAGCTCATGGGATCAGTTAATATTACAAGTCATTATGTCCTGTGGTAATGGATTGATTACCTTCATCAATCTCGAACTTTTGAGGTGTTTTTTTCCTTCTTCAAATGTAACTCTAATCAAAAAGGAAAGTAGGTGATTATTTTATAAAGAATATATTCATCCAGTGGCCGGAGAGATGGCTCTGTGGTTAAGAGCACTTGCTGCTCTTACAGAGGACTCAGGTAGTGGGTAATTTTAGTTCCAGGGGATCCAGCACTTCCTTCTGGCTTCCATGGGCACTGCATGCACATGGTGCACTTGGCATAAATAAAGGCAAAACATGCATACATATAAAATACAAATAAATAAAATTTTTTAAAAATTTAAAAGAGTACAACATCCATATTCTCATCTTAAAAATTAACTGAAGCCGGGTGTGATGGAGTCCCAGCAGCACTCAGGAGGCAGAGACAGGCAGATCTCTGTGAGTTCAAGGCCAGCCTGGTCTACATAGTGAATTCCAGGCCAGCTGGGGCTACAGGGAGACCCTGTCTCCAAAAAAAAAAAAAATTAATATACATAGTCTTTAATGATAAATCAGTGTCAGTCACAGAACATTGATGTGTAAATAAAATTAAAGGCAAGTACACATAATTAGAGATTGATGGATAAGGATATTAAAAAGAAAACACAAGTGTTAGTCTATATGAGAAAGTACCTTTTCACTCTGTTTTGTTTTCAATAACTTCCTGATGCCTAGTCACCCAGCTGCATTAGAAATTGAATTTTAAAAAATATTTTACTTATTTATTTTTTATGTGTACCGAGTGTATTGCCTGCATGTGTGTAAGTGCACCTGTGTTATGCTATGCCCGTGGAGGTCAGAAGAAGATGTAGTCATGGATGGTTGTTAGGTGTTATGTAGGTGCTAGGAATCAAACCTGGGTCCTCTACAAGAGCAGTCAGTGCTCTTAACTGCTGAGCCATCTCTCCAGCCCCAGAAATTTTTTTTTTTAATGCTGTGTATTTATTGTTTCATAGTAGTGTGCCTGCCTCATCTCTGAGGCCCTGAGCTCCAACCCCAGCACTGAAAGGGGGAGAAAAAAAGATTATTTTTGTTTTTATTTTGAATACATAAAACTTTAAGACTTATTTCTCTGGTTTATGAGCGTTAAATCCTAGGTTCTGGCACATACTTTACCACTGAGCTGTACTTCTACCTTGGGCATATTTATAAAGGACATTATCATCATTTTGAGTGTGGGTACAGATTATTTTTGAGGGCCATTGTATATTTACAATTGTCTTTTTTTAATATTTTATTTATTATTTTTATTTCATGTGTATGAGTATATTGCCTGCATGTGTGTGAGTGCACCCATGTCGTGCAGTGCCACGGACATCAGAAGAGGGCTTCGGATTCCCCTGGAACTGAAGTTAAGGACGGTTCGGAGCCGCCATGTGGGTGCTGGAAATCGAACCCAGATCCACTGCAAGAGCAGTCAGTGCTCTTAACTGCTGAGCCATTTCTTCAGCCCTACAATTGTCTTTTAAATTTTTTTCTTTTTGTCTTTTTGAGACAGGTCTCCCTGTAGCCCCAGCTGGCCTGGAATGCACTATATAGACCAGGCTGGCCTTGAACTCACAGAGATCCACCTGCCTCTAACTCCCGAGTATCTGAATTGAAGGCATTTGCCACCACACCCAGCCTAAAATTTAAAAAAAATTTATTTTTGCCTACACGTATATAAATTCACCCATGTCATGCAATGTCTGCAGAGGTCATAAGAGGGTGTCAGATCCCTTAGAGTTACAGATGCTTGTTAGCTGCCATGTGGGTGCTGGAAATTGAACCCAGGTCTTCTGCAAGAGCAGCTAGTACTCTTAACCACTGACATCTCTCCAATCCCCTGTCTATAATTTTTTGAGTCTTTATAGTTTTTCAGACATTAAATTCTCAGTTTTATCTGGGGCCAGATGTGGTAGCAAATGCCTTTAATCCTAGCTCTTGGGAGACAGAGGCAGGTGGACCCAAGTAAGTTCCAGGACAGCCTGATCTACATAGAAATTCCAGGCCAGCGGTAGCTACATAGTGAGACTTTGTCTCAAATAAACAAACAAACTATAGGGCTATAGGGAGAATATACTAAAGGTAATTTAGAGGTAATTCTTGATATATAGAGATTATTATTTTTAATATGATATACTTAGCAACTACTTTAAATCTTATGATACTGAGAAAGTGTGAGAAACACTTGCGGATTTGAGTGAAAATCAAGATATCTTTCAAGTAGGATTGAAATTGCTATTCAAGTTGTTTTGACAAAGACTCTAAAGAGTCCTCTTATAGCTTCTGTGATAGGTATTGCTTTGTGTTGAAATCATCCCCAGAAGAATGACTTAGGAACCTTTTAAACAATGTAGTTTGAATAAAGGAAATTAATTGAATTTTATCATTAGCATAGATTACTAATATTTTGCAGTTCATCTTAATATTTTTGAGAAGTATTGTGAGAACTATTGAATAATATGATCTCTTATTTAGTAGGGAATCTTGGAATTTAAAGTTTTAATAAAAAATATATAAAGTAGCAAACCTATATAGAATTTTCAGAGCTTTTGTGTTGTTGTTCATAATGTATTCTTAGTGCTAGATACCTTAAAAATACTTGTTGTTGGCCGGGCATGGTGGCACACGCCTTTAGTCCCAGCACTTGGGAGGCAGAGGCAGGCGAATCTTTGTGAGTTCAAGGCCAGCCTGGTCTACATAGTGAGTTCAGGTCAGCTGGGACAGGGAGACCCTGTCTCAAAAAGATTAAAAAAAAAATTATTGTTAAATGAATTGCCTGAAGTGCACAGTGCACAAACCTATGAACAAAAAAGCTATAAAAAAGCTTTCCCAAAGTCAGTGGAGAAAAAAATACTTAAAAAATTTTTTAAATATTTTATTTATTATTTTTATTTTATGTGTATGAGTGTATTGCCTGCATGTATGTGAGTGCACCCGTGTCATGCAAAGTAAACTGTTAATATGTAGCTCTGGGGGAGGGTGTTAGGGTAGGGTTAGAGAGTTAGAAATGTGCTTCACTTTTGTTTTTGTGTTTATCACTCAACGGGTGGCAGTGGAAGTCAGAAGCACAATGATAATCTGTGTGGTGGTTATTCCCTGACCAGGATCTAGATACCTTCAAAGAAAGGAATATTTGTTGAGAAATTGTAAAGCAGTCATTGTGCTAAATGGTTCATGTGTTTATCTTAGTTTTTGTAACACTTCTGAGAGGTAGGTAGAATGAACATTCTCATTTTATAGATGAGAGAAATTGGGTTATTGAATTTAGAGGCAGTAACTTCTGATCATATTACTATTGAACAATAGTTCTGGGAAACATACTTGCCCAGCTATAAGCCTGTGCTGCTGCCATTACACCAAATGGCATTCTCTGGTATCTGGAAGGGTGCCAATTATATTCATTTAAAAATAATCTCTTTATAGTCTATTTCTGTGTTTATCACTGGCTAAGCCCTTTCTTCTGTGCTATAAGAATTTTCCTTGTTTGGTCACCTTAGGGTTGGTGCTGCTTAGGTCAAAGTACCCTTTTAAATTACATTTATTAGTTTTTAGTTTTCTTTCAAGCACATAGAAATGTTTAGAACTTCTGAAGGTCAGTTTATTTCAACTATAGATAAGCAGAAGAAAGAAAATTCCATTTAGAATGCAAAAAGGAAAATATTTAATCTCTGTAGTAATTAATGACTTGAACTGTTACATAAGGGAAAGATACAAAAATAGAATGTATGCTTTTACTTTTCGTTTTCACCACAAAAGGAAGCCTTGTGTATTTCTATATCTATAAATTGGACCACATTATAAGTGGTTCACTTAGAAGTAGAAACAGCTGGGGATGTAGCTCTATTAGAGTGTATGGCTAACGTGTATGGTTTGAGCTCCAGAAACACACACATGTGCACACACACACACTCCACCTCACCCCCACCCAGAGAGAGAGAGGGAGAGAGAGAGGGAGAGAGAGAGAGAGAGAGAGAGAGAGAGAGAGAGAGAG